AGAAAGATTGTTCTAACCATATAAAACAACAATATGAAGGGGCAAGATGGAGGCACAGAAATAGTTTTATAGTGGATATACCTTCTCGAGAAACCCATAGGAATTTTCTATAATTTCGAGACCTATTACTTAATCGTGTATGTACCTTTTCGATAAATCTTGAGAAGGATGCTCATCATTCATGAATATAGATTACTATAGAGAATAAAGATTTCGTTTGACCAAAAGAGAAACTAAGTTACTTGCAAATTTAAGTGTGGTTCAAAGCACAACGCTTGTCCGATATTGCATACCATCAAGTATAAAATATTCAATGAACTTATATTTTGCGCTTCACTAATCTCTTTGTAGTTGTGGTGAAATATTTTGTCTTAGAATGTCTTTCAGGTAGTGTTAAAATCCCTAGACTTTATCTCTTTTAATTAAAATATGCAAAAATAGATGAAGAAAAAATATCTTTAAAAATTTTAGTTATGATTCTCAAACATTTATCTCTGTCGGATTTATGGCTTATTGATTTTAAATTTGAATAAATGGAAAAATAAATTATATTGGAATGCATAACTTATCCATCTAATTTGGAATTAATTTTTATAAAAAGAAATGTGTCCTGCTACATGAATAATATTCATACCGCAAAATATAGCTTATTTTCGTACCTACGGAGACGAATAAAATATTCAGCGGAATCCCACCGACATGTTTTCTGTAACATTCTGAATTTTCGATTCTTTTCCCGGGATTTATGAAATGAATATTTGGCCAATGCACTTATAGTGAGATCTCACCCAGAACCGCGCATTCTCGGGATGCTAACCTTAGGGGTAAGGCTATAACGGGAGTGAGTTCGCACAATCAAAGAACTCAACCTTGGTTCGACCTTCGACCATAAGGATTGTCGAGGGAATGTTTTGGGCCAATAGAGACCGGTCTATTTGATTGGTCGTGTCCAAAGGGAACTAGCGATAGACCCTCGCAATTATATGACAATCGATGTCGCCTTGGTTTGAGCAAACTTAAACGTGATTTGACTTAGTGTCAGTCACGGGTCGAGAGCGCGTAATCCCAATGAGCCACCCATTAGCGAGAGATAAGATAAAAGTTGCGATTGTTCAATTTTAGTCATTTCTTGGAATTCGGGCCCAGGAATCGAGAATTTTGAAAGTGACAGTTTTGAGCGGCCGATGACGTTTTTGGCTTGGCCAACCTTGGGGCCACCCATTTTTGCAAAAAAATGGATTTCGGTTCGGGACCGGAAAAATGACCGTTTTGCCCCTAGGCCATTTTGGGGTATTCCGAATTTTGGGCAATTTTGGGGATTAATTTATGTGTATTTCAGCCCAATAATTCATTTCTCCTTGGACTAAATTGCCCCTAGCTTTTTGGATGAGGATGAATATTGGCCAAGTATTGAGAGGCAAAGTAGGAATTATGAAAATGTTGGTCAAACTTCTTTGACCCATTAATATATTTGTTTTTCTCTCATTCATTCCCCATTTTCCCCGGCCACTTCTCCTTCTCCCTCTCTATCCCAAAATTCTCTCTCTCTCTCTCTCTCTCCTCACCCCACCAATCGGCTTTCTCTCTTTTCCCTCCCTTCCCGTGCGTGAACCCAGCTAGGCCGGCGACGCTGCTGCTGCTGCTGGGCCGGCTGTTCCAGCCCCTTGTCCAGCCCGTTTGTCCGCCTTTTCAAAGTAAGTGACTTCCCCAAACTCTCCCTAGGACCTCGGGTATTGTAGGACGTGTTTATGGCTCGGTTTAGGTGATTTGTGTGGTTGTTTTGGGACTTGGAGTGAGGCTGGATGTTCGGTAGTCGTGGACTGAATTGAGGGGTGGAAATATGAGGTTTGGGAGGTTCGGATAGGGCCGTGATGATATGGAACGATTACGGTTTGAATCCGTGAGATTTGGTGTGATTCTCAGATTCGTGACTACTGTACCCGTCCGGTTTGCTATTTTTGTGGAGAATTTTGGGGGCCAAATTTGAGGAAGTTTTCTTCATGAAAGTGGTTCCGAACATCTTGAAGTATAACATATTTTAAATTTGGAATTTTTGGAGGCCATTTGGGCTGCACGAAAACCCATTTTCAGACCGTCTTAAAACTGCCAGAACACTGTTCATCCCGACCTTCTTGTCTTGCCGAATTTTTATAAAATTTTCCAGATTTATTTCAATAAACTTCCTTCACAAAAGTTGTTGGTGACTTTCTTTTCTATGACATATAAAAATTTGAAAGCTTTTCAAGGTGATTTGGGTGTTGAAAGAAATGTATTTTGAGGACAAAACAGTCTGTTAGAGCGAACTGATTTTGGTCTGATTTCGAGGGACAAAAAGGCATGGTTGCAGATTGAACCGGATTTTGTGTCCTTCATAAGAAATGTTTGTCAAGATGTTTTTTATGATATATCTAAAATTTAGAATTTTTGGAGTTCGTTTACTATTTATTTTGATGGGATTTCGGTCACTGTGTAAACTACCCAGATTTACCATGATTCTATGGATATTCATTTTTATGAGCGGAATGGTGGGGGCGTCGAGGTTGAATAGTTGCTGCCCTCGTGATGGGAATTGATGCCTGAATGTGTATTTGCATGTTCTAGGGGCTGAATTGAAATGGTTGAATTGGGTGCATTGAATTAATGTTCGGGTATGTGTGACCGTGTGGTGTGATTATGTGATGGTGAAATGTATGTGGGGCATGTGTTTGTGTGGCTGTGTGATATGTGTGGCCTCGTGGCTCGTGTTGTACGATGGTACGAGATGATTTGAATGGTTGGAAAAGTGGTACCGTGAGGCGTGTTCGTTTACGCGGGATAGGTTCCGTCCTGAGGCGTGTTCGTTTACGCGGGACGATGCCGTTCCTGACGAGGTGACGATGCCTGGCCTGACGGGGTGACGATGCCTAACGAGGTCAGAAGACCGTTGGCCTGATGCGTTTTACACGGGCGCGGTAGTGGTGGAAAGTTGAGAATGAGCTGGAATTAATTTGACGTGTGAGAATTGATGCATGGCGTGAGTTCGTGTGCGAGTGTGGTTGGTATCGGGTATTGTGGTGCTCGACTATGGGGTAAAAACTGCTAGGCATGGTATGGGACGTGCCCAAGTGGGTTTTGCCTTATAATCGAGGCACGCGCGCGACTGTGATGTATTACTGTGGTATGTTGGCTGTGTTGTTATCTAACGTGCAGGAACATGCATGATGGATCCCAGGTAGGATCGTATGTGTTTGTTAGTATGGTTGATTGCTGTGTGTTATGCGTGTTTCGTCTGGCGGTACGTGAGAGCCTACGTGGGGTTTGGGGTTGTGCACTTATTGAGATTCGTCTCATGGTTGTGTAACCACCACTTTCAGAATCCCAATCTTAAACCCGGGAGGTCCGCCTCCTCTTTTTGGAGTTTGAAGAGCCGCCCATGGTGCCCAGTGGAGCTGCAGGTGATCCTCAGGAGCAGATTGGAAATGGGTGATCAGTAGTTTCCCCCTAGGGTATTTTAGGGGTTGCGCAGAATAGGTCGACCCATAGTGAAGTTAAGTTAACCAAGCCACCTGATCCTTTTTGTTATGTCGGTGGTTGTGAATTCTTGTTTGCTAAGCTCGTGTATAATATGATGTTTGTATGTATAATGCTTTGGCATTGTATATAAATGAATGTTGTTGTTATTTGACTGTCTAGTTGAGCTATCCCATCGTCGTCTTTTTAGTCAGGGGTTTTGTATTCGCTTCCGCATGCGTCTTTGATGTTTGGGTTGGGTCGGCGATGTTCCTGGGACGTCGCAATAATTCGACCAAGGAGCGGGATGTCGTGAGCTCGATGGGGCTCGGGGCGTGACATTTTCTATTTATGATAATGGGGTCTTTTGGTTTTTTTCTTCCTCAGCTCTAAACAAGGAAACAACTCTTGGCAATCAAGTTTCCTATTAATCTCCAAAAATTAGATTATAAAAATGAAAACAAATCAACCTGTTTAGGGAAAACAAGAGAAATCACTTCTTTTTAGCCGAACTCTAAGGAGAAATCGGTTTCCTAGTGCCTCTTCAATTTTATTACTCTTTCTATCTTATCATCACTGTGTTGCATTAAGAAAATCGAGTCAATCATCAAAATTTGCGATGCCAACATCTATTTTAAACCGAATCATATTTTTTAAACAATTGGCTCATAAGGTTCTTGTAGGTGCAAAAATCAAGTCACTAAGACATCAAATGGAAAAATTATGCTCGGTTAAAGTTTGGCCAATTTATGTTAAATTATATATAAATATCATCTTTCAAACTTTGTCCCAAATATATGATTTGTTTGTTGGTCGGACCCAAATATATGATATTAAATGCTTGACATAATAAGATTTAGAACATTCGAATCATCTAAATTACTTAAGCTCGATCACATCAATTGGATTTTTAATGAAGAAAATATGAAGGCCGGCCGTTCGGTCTTATTCTTTAAAATTAATGATCCCGACACTTTTTTTGAAAATCGAATCGCATTTTTGAAACAATTGGATAGCGAGCTTTTCGTAAGGGTAAAATTTGAGTCAATGGGACATTGAACATATAAGTTATGCCAGGTCAAAGTTTGGCTAATTTTGAGAAATAAAAAAGCATAAATATTATTTTCCATAATATTTCCAAATTACATGATTTAAAATACTTGAAGGTTTAGAGCTTTTTAATCATATAAATTTACTTAAGTTCAATCATGGCAATCGGATTTTTAACAAAGAAAAAATCATCCGTATGTTTGGTCTGATTCCTAGATATTCGCACTCTTGACACTTCTTTTAAAATCGGATTAGACTTTTCGTATGTGCAATTATTGAGTCAATTAGACGTCGGACGGAAAATTTATGTCTAGTCAAAGATTTCAACGGAGATATCTCAACAATAAAAACCTTAAAACTTCTGCATTTGGCTCAATTAGAGTAAGTGAATCTGATCCATATGTTTCAACCTATGTAGTTTTGAAAAAGATAAGTACCTAACCTATGAAGGGAATTTATTTTAGCCAAAAGGAATTCTGGCATGCTGAAAAAGGAACAAGACCATCTTGGGGATGGCAAAGTCTGCTGGTGGGGAGGGATGCCATTGCAAATTCAACAATGTGGTCTATTGGAAACGGGCAGAGAGTAAATATCAGGGAAGATAAATGGTTGAAGAGGGGAGTGATTGGAGGGCCAGCAAATGTTAATGAACCTAAGAAGGTAGCAGAATTGATAGATGTTGCAGAGGGCCAATGGAATGAGCAAAAGCTTGAAGAAATCTTCGATGAACAAACAAAGCAAGAAATTCTGTCCATTCCAATTCAACCACAGGAAACAAATGATGAATTATTTTGGAAGGGAACAAAATCTGGATGCTACACAGTAAAAAATGGGTATAATATAATCAGGCAAGAATCGAGCAAGAAATTGGCAGAACAACTCTCATCCTCTACTCAAACACCCAGAGCACTGTGGAACTCTATATGGAATCTAAAGGTATGCACAAAAGTGAAAATTTTTCTGTGGAGTACATGTCAGAACGCATTACCAACGAAGGAAAATTTGTGGAAAAGGAAAAGAGTACCTGATCCATTGTGCACTCTATGTCGAAGCGAAGTGGAAACAGCAGAACACACTTTGTTGCTCTGTCCCTGGATCCAACAAGTATGGTCTAACCCAAAACTTAAATTATCTGTTTCAAAGCAGGGGATAACTCGAATTGAAGCATGGTTAATGAAGTTTACAAAGAAACAGAATGGATTACCATCTCTGGAAATGGTGGCAACTACTCTGTGGCATATCTGGAAATCCCGGAACAACTCGATCTTTAGAGGCCAAAATCCAAATGCAGAGGAAAACTGTAGAAGCTGCGCAAGTGATGGAAGAAAATTATGAAAAATGGGGGATTCATATGGCAAAAATAGGGAACGGAAGAGAAGGGGCAGCTTCACCTACTTGGATTGCACCGGAGAGAGGGAGGCTGAAAATCAATGTTGATGGCTCGCTTGTGGAGGGATCAACCGACGGTGCGATAGCGTGCATTTGCCGAGATCACACCGGGGTTCTCGTCGATGGACTCACAAAATCTGTCAAGGGATCCTCGGTGGCTCAAGTTGAAACACTAGCTGTACTGGAGGCAATGAGATTTGCAAAACAGTGAAGTTTGAAGGAAGTTATAGTTCAGTCAGATAGACTTGAACTGATTCATACATTGTCGGGTGCAGATCAAGTCAATTGGGAGATTCGAGTGCTCATTAAAGAATGCAGGGACCTTCTTGTGGACCTCCCTTTGTTGCAATTGGAGTATTGTCCAAGGAGTTCAAATTCGGTTGTAGACTGGGCAGAGAAAAAGCACCGAAACCAACTTCTTCCGCTGAACTGGCTGTCTTCTCCACCCCCGGCCCTCTGGGCCTTGCTTTGCAAAGATGCCCCGCGTCTGGGCTCAGCTATTCTATCACGTTTATGATATAAATAAAAATCTACTTTGGTTGACCAAAAAAAAAAACTAGAACGTGATTATTAGTAAGTCCCCAATCCCAACGAAAATGGGATGATTTGAATGGATGAGAGATTTCCTTGCATTCTCTTCTGTCCTAATCACCCGTACCAAATGTAACGCGTCAGTTAATCGATTCTTCTCCTTTCCCTAGTGATTGAATGAATCTTTTCTCTTCTTTCCAGATCAGCCCATCCAAATATAGTGAAGCAAAGGGGTTCCAGGATGGACCCTAGTAATTCAACATGTCGTCCCACTCTATTCCGAGAACCCAATACATCCTTCAACAAGAATGCACTCTTGGGATAAATATGATGAATCCGGATGTAACACGCAGCAATTAAAACAGAGACTCCGAAAGATCTCAAGCATTACAACAAGACAACGATAAAAGACGGAGAATTAGTAACTAACCCATCACACGGAGAACGAAAACCAAGTGGCCTAGAGTTATCATCCAAGTTGGAAACTTTGGACCCGATGTCTTCATAGAGCTCGAGGCGCACCGATTCCACGGATGTGCTGTACTTCCTCCGTGGTCTGGCCATCAATGGTAATAATAAAAACAAAACAAAACTAACAGATAGTCATCAGCTTTTCTCCTAAAAAGAGAACATCAAATGGAACTGGAATCTAGCTAAGAATTAAACCCTGAAGCTAAAATTCTTGCCATTACGAACCCAAAAAATGGGAACACAATGGAAGTGTTAGCTGAAGCCAGAGAGGTGGAGAAGCTGCTGTAAGTGGCTTGCCCTCGCTGCGCATCTCCCTCCTCAATCACCCATAAAATTTTCGAAGCACTGAATTTGAACTCTCTCGGCCAATTCGAAAAGCAAGCAAAATGCAAACAGAGATAATTCGCCAATAGCAATGCTCAATCTTCTTTTATGTAAAAAAAAAGAATAATATAGCATCATCCAATCCGAAGATAAATCCTTTTTTTCCCGACATCAGTAGCAACATAATTTGCACTTTGATTTGCATTTTCTGATTATTATTTTGAAAACTGATTTTGCAAAAACAATTTCCTCTTTCGACTAAATCAATTTCTTTTGATAAATTTAAAGAGAATCATGGTCTTTCATTGTGTGAAATGAGCCGAACATGCCCCAAAAGCAGGTGCACTAACCACGGTCTGGCCATGATGGTCCCACCAATCTGACCACACTGATAATCGATAGTGTCACAAAATTATAGCCTAACTATTCTAAAACTTTTAAGTCATTACCAAATGTGGTGATAACCGAACTATTTACGTGTAGATTGGATTTTGGTCTAAAATTGAAATAGTGAAAACTCATCATTCAAGAGGCAAATAAAAAGATGTTAAGATTTGAACTGGGACCTATTGTTCTTATGTTATGAAAAATCTTGTGAGATGTTGGCTTGTTTTAAGAATTTAACTCTTTAGATGAAGAAATGAATTAATATTTACAACTTTAAAATGTGCAACTCTAACATCTTACAAAATGAGAACACTTACAATCATATCGTAAAGATGTTGGGAGTGATCATTTCTAGAGCGAGTTCGATTCCTAAGCTAGAACCCAGTGCCAGCCCAATTAGGGATAGTTCCAAGTTCCCTTGGAACAAGGAACCAAGCCCGGTTTCCTTGGACTCAGCCTAGAACCGAACCAGCCGATTTTACAATGGACTTGTGAGTCGCGTTCGTTCCTTGCTACTTTCATTTGATCTGTTTTTTTTTCGTGAGAGATTCGCAAATCAAGCACAAGTCACCCATGCTGATTACTAAGGCCAAGATATGAAGAGCGTGAGATGAGAGAACGGAGAGGGGTGTGAGAATGAAATTGGCTATTGAAAGATCGGACGACTCTATTCGACCCAAAAAAAAAAAAAGATCGGACGCCTTTACTTGAGAAAGTCAAACGGAGACGGGTGACGAAGATGGACAAAGTAAAAGTAAATCAGGACTGTTTGTTTAAGTTAGATTTTACTTGCGATTGACCCTATAGCAGTTCAGTTTATCAAATTGGAAATCGAATTGGATACTTCGCTTTCGTTTTCTCTGTTTGATCAGGTCATAATTTCGAATGTTTCGTCCCATCTCATTTTCCATGGTGTCATTAATTAGGGAGATCAGGGAGCTTGCTTTACCTGGCTTTGACTTTTGGATGTGGCCTTTCTGGCTTACACTTAGATGCATCCTCTGGTGATTTTCCCTCTTACTCCTTGCTCGATCCATTTGATGAATGATGAGACTTCGTTTTTCTTAGAATCATCTTACTTGCGATTGTATTGGGAAAATTTTGATAGGTATAAGTAATTAGAGAGGCAAACAGGGTTAATGTCACGCCCCGAACCCCATCGGGCACGCAACACCCTTACCTGGTCGATTTATGCGACATCCCAGGATTGTCGCCGACCTCAAATCGACATCAGAGATTTACAACCACAGCGGATACTAACAATTAACCCGGACAATTAAAACTGGAGAGAATATTCAGGGAGAATACACATATTCTTTTCCATTCACAAACTTATAAGATATTCACAATTACAGCTTTAATATACAACTGCACACCTTACTATCCACCTTCGATAACAAAAAGGACCGGATGACCTGGTATCCTATTTTCCAAAAATGGTACATCTCAAAAACTCTGATTAGATCCATGCACTAACCCCTACGGCCCTTACTCGGCGTCCACTCCGAGTCTGACTCTTCACCCTCTGAATCCAAACTTCCTTGGACAGTCTGCTCCTCAGAGGACTCCGGCTCAGCTTCGATCACAATCGGGTGATTGATGTCACCCGACTCAGCTGGAGCTGCGTTCTGATACTCCTCAGCCAGAAAATCGAAGAAATTATACTCAGGCACGTAATTGGGATCCATGTATTCCTCAAAAGGGAGTATATACTCCGGGTCTCCTGCCGGCTCATCCGACTCCTCAGACTCGACCTCAGGCTCTACCTCGGGCTCCACCTCTTCGGGTTCTACCTCGGCCTCCGCTTCCTCTGGTTCTTCCTCGGGGATCGGTTCCAAATCGATGTCCATTGGATCGTCTTAAGCTTGCGACGCTTCGGGCTCGGGTTCATGCTCAGCCTCTGAAGATCCCTGAGCTGCGGCCGCTGATTGCAAACCGGACTGAGCTAAACTAGTATCCACACTAGTCAACTCTCTGTCTATCGGGGGTACGGCCGTCGGGTCCCAATCCCCAACAAGATCAAAAGGAACATCAAATCCTCTAACGGGCCCGAACTCAGCCCCGTCAGCATCCCGGAAGAACCAGGCAGTGTACTTATGCTCTTCCCAAAGAGGCAAACCTACATCTATAAACACTGTAGAGGTGTGCTTAATCCAGGTCATCCCATCTCCCATCGAAAATTCTGTAGCGTCAACCTCAGTGTGCACTGGGACCCCAAAACGTTCTAGTGGCGGTGGTGGAGGGTTCATCGCTTAGGTTGGGGTTCTGAAAATTGTTGGTTTACACATCCATGAGATTATATCTCAGCAAGTACACCCCTAAACCCAACCTAGGCTATCACGTACCTCCAGACAATTACGCAATCACACACATTCACGTACATCAAGTAATCACAAAGTAGGCACATCAATTAATATGGTCAAGCTCAATCATGCGCACACCCGCACTCAATCACAATTACATCATATGCAAACACGCGCATGTACCATTCTCATCCCACTGTTCCTTCCATCCTCATTCCTCTTTCATATTCCTCGCTAGTGACCCGCGTTGAAGAACACGCCTCAGGCACACTGCGATCATTCACCACATCCGGCCCGCATACCCGTTCATGCCTCAGGCCCCAATCGCGACCTGAGCATCACACGCCCCAGGCCCGATCCCAACTCAGCCCGCGCCAAATGCGACAGGCCTACATGATTGGAACCCGAGCTTATGATGCCTCGGTCCAATCCCGGTCTCACCCGAGCTGATCGTGCCTCGGACCGATTCTCATACTTGCTTTTTCCAGCCTCAGCCTGTGCCAAATGCATCAGACCTACGTGATTGCTGCCCGAGTTTACGATACCCGGCCCGATCCCATTCTCGCACTACCACACCTTCGCATACTTTCCCACAATCACTTGTCACACCACAACTTGTCCTTACTCATGCACATACTCGATATGCATTTACCACACTCAACTAGCCCATCACACGCGATCCGTGCACTCATCGAGTCACACGCAGACGGAGCTCACTCAACAATTCACATGGCCAATATCAACAATTAATTCAATCTGGCCCACGCGTGCACCAAACAGACATATGTCCACTATATAAACACACAAATAAGCCCTCAATTAAATCAACCCCATCCAGAATAATTCAAACATGCCTAAAACAAGTAAATTGCCAATTTTCTCCAACCAAATGGCGTCGGATTAATTCCGATCCGTCACGACACTTTCTCGCCATTAAATAACGGTTCTAAAAAATTCAACTTGCGTCCTGAACAAATCATCACAGCCCCGTGAACAGTAATTCGCAGCTTGTAAACAGTAATTCACGGCTTGTAATTCACCTCAAATTGTCCTCCAAAAATTCCAAAAATAATCCTCAAGGCCCGCCACAACATTCCAATCTTAAACCCCAACATTTCGCACCCGCATATTGTCAATTTCACCCCAAATCAAATTATCCGTCGATACCCAATATCCTAAATCGGGATTAGAGTGT